ACCATTTACACAATTAACGGTTTCCTCACAAAAAGGATAAGTATTATAAAGAATGATTTGAGTGACATGAGAGTAGCAGGAGAACACCCACAAACTGAGACTTTACGGTACGTGCAGTTTTTAAGCCTGATTTCTTCACTTAACACTGCAGAATGGGCATTTCTGTAAACTTCTAATGGTCGCATAGTCTCTTCACTATGTGGGGTAACATAGTTTGGCCATTCTCCCATTGCTAGATTTTTTAAGTAAAAAATAATAGTACAAGGAGTGTTCTTGGACATAAATCATTAATTAATGTCTTATTAATTCCATAGAACACATCTCTACAAATTAGAATACCAAGTTAAAAGTCACTAAAACTTTGAGGTTAATAATACATATGTCAAGTTGTTTTCCAAAAACTTGAATCAATTCATACGCCTCCAGCAAATTTAAAGCACCTACTAGTATGGACTATTGCACTTAAAAAACTTGCCAACTTGCAGGGTCAAAAGTCGTTTACTCAATTAATTTGCATTTATTTGAGTAGTGTTTAAAAATATTTGGTGGTCGTTTATACCATTTTTCTATTTTGTAAAGTACCTCCGTGTCCTTTGCCCATTTTTTTCTATCAGAGTTAGTATTTTCCTTATTGTTTTCTAAAAGTTCTTAACATATTAAGGAATTAGCCCTTGATCAAAGTTTATGTATATATTTTTTCTTAAGTCTACTGTCCTATCATTTTATTTATAAATTTTGACATATAAATTCAATATTTTAGTAAGTCAAATCAGATAATGTATTTTTATGAGCTTTTTCTTTCCTTTTCATGTCTGTTTAGAAATCACTTACCCATTCTGAGATCAATTAAATATTCAATCATATTTTCTTTCATTTCTTTATGATTTAGTTACCTTTATTTAACTGATCTATCTGGAGCTTGTTTTGGAGCACAGTAGAAAATGAGGGTCTTCTTTACCTACACTCAATTTTCCAACGTGGCTTATTGAATTGTATATGTGTCCCCCAATTTTGATGATTCTGTTAGAACACACCAAGTACTGGAGAACTATATCAGCCTGTTTTACTCCTGCTTAGCACTTCAAAGTTTCTCGGTAGTGCTTGTGGGAATCCTTGCTTTGTTCCTGAATTAACGGGGCTGCATCAAGTGGGTGAAGATAGGCTTTCTTTACCATCTTCTGAATATCTCTTTATTCTCAACTATTTAACATCTTAAAATCGGAAAGGGTCTTAGATTTTTGTCAAACTACTTTTTCCTCTTCCAAGATTATCGTAGGTACAGAATTCCCTGCATCGCACGCATTTAATTCATGGGTCCTCCTCCTTCTGGGATATTGCTGTTCAAAGAGTTGGCTGAAAATCGTGAGGTGAGTGCTTTTTTGCCAAGGCAGTTTAGCTCTCAGTTGGCAGGCGAGGGACACATTTGTTGCAGGGATGGCAAGAGATGGTGGGCCCAGGAGGCACGGGGACTCACCAGACCCCAGGTCACCCACGTGTCAGGTGTCCACTTTCGGGGATGTAAGAACCACTCTGTCTGCAAGCCTGACCCCACGCAGCACCCACATGTTCCCATTTGGAAGGACTCAGCCCTACGCGGATCGCTTACTTATCAACCCCCATAAGGGCCAGCTGCAGGGATGTGGGACTATGAAAAGAGATGGAAAATGAAATACACAAGAGAAGGCTGATTTCTTTATGGGAGCACAACAGGTGAGCAAATATCTCACCTGGAACCAACCCATCCTATTGCACAACCATCTGTGCCTTCTTGGCTCGCTGTACTCAGTGGAAATGTGGAAACAAACTTAAAAATAAGCTTAGCACAGTGACATAATTTAGTGCATGGGAATAGAATCAGACGCTGTGGTGGGGAGCATGTAAGTTCGATAGAGTGGAATGTATCTGGACTCTCCGATTCAGCTTATTACTGTGGCATTTCATCATAGCCCACAAAACCAAATTAACTGGAGGGGCTTAATTGTGCCCACCTTTCAAATTCATGCATTGAAGCCCCAATGCCCAGGACCTCAGAATGTGACTGTTATTTGGAGACAGGGCCTTCAAAGAGGAAATTAAGTTAAAATGAGGTGGTTAGGGTTTGTCCCCATCCAATCTGACCGGTGTCCTTACAAGGCGGGGGCGTGTGGAAACAGACTCCAGGCATGTGTGTGCACGGAGGAAGGACAGGAGGCCGGCAGACGGCCGTGTGCAGCTGACGAGAGAGGGGTCAGGAGAAACCGAACCTGCCAACACCCTGGTCTGGGACCCCTGGCCTCGAGGACTCGGAGAGGACAAACACTGTCCTAGCCCCCAGTCTGGGGTATGAGTCATGGCAACCCAAGCAGACAGAAAGGACAACAGCAACCCGAGTGTGAGTTGTCCCTGCTGCTCCCTCACCAGAGATCCGAGCTGAAACAAGCCCCCTCCTGCTCCGTGCTCGGGACTGGGGCTCAGGGCAGCTCTGCCTCAACATGGAGCCAGTGGGCACCGTGTGAAAAGACAGCTCCGGGAAGGGCGGAGGAAAACGGGATCTGGCACTCTGGCTCACCTCACCCCCCAGAACCCAGATATCACACTCTGAAGAAGCAGAAAGCATGGTGTTTCACCTCTGATGGTGGCTTTGTCACCACGGCCGAGGGGCTCATCGGGGATGCACTGAAGAAACTGTGGGGGGCATACAAGGGGCCGTCCCCTCTTTGGATGCTTGGTGTTGCCCCTACTCCAAAAGGAGTAGCTTACTTTCTGCGGTGTGCCCGTCAGATGGCCAGAATTATTCCCACTATCCCTCCAAGAACCTGGGACAGCATCTCGTGGAGGAGCAGGTACCGGAGGTTTTCACCTCTCTCCGGAAAGGCTTGGGGTGAGGGTGCTGCGGGGGAAGGAGGGTCCCAGACACACAGAGCAGGGAGCAGGGCCATGGCAACCGGCTCAAGCGCCCAGGAGACAGGTGTGGGCGCTGTGCTCATTCACTGCCAAACAGGGAGGAATACGGTGTCAGGGAAACAGCCCAAGATCTGACGTCAAGGCCCGAGTTTAAGGTCTGCACGTGTGTCTATTAGCTGAGGAACTTTGCATAAACTATTTAGACTTATGATGTCTCAGTTCCATTCCCTATAAATCAGGGCTAGCACTACCCATCTCACAGATGTTCTGGGAAGTTCAATAGTGGTTGAAAATGCTTTGTAGTGGCGCCTGGGTGGCTCAGTTGGTTAAACATCCAACTCTTGGGTTTTGGCTCAAGTCATGATCTCATGGGTCATGGGATGGAGCCCCATGTCCGGCTCCACATTCAGCGGGGAGTCAGCTTGAGGATTCTCTCTCTCCCTCTGCTCCTCCCCCCATTCGTGGGCACTCTCTCTCTCTCTCTCTCAAATAAATAAATAAATCTTTTTTAAAATGATTTGTAAACTTTAATTTTATAGAGGGAATTTTTTAGAACCTTAATAACTTATGTGTCCAGTTGCACACTGCAAGCAGTAGAGGCCATTCCTTAGCATGACACTCATACTGGACTTAATTTCCCTTGTTCTATTCAGCTTCTTACACCACAATAAACATGACCGTGATGTTTCTGTTTCTGTTTCCACTGGCCTTCACTATGAGTAAACCTTGTCAACAGAGACGACATCATCTCTCTTCTTACAAAGCCCAATGCACCCACAACTGGACTAGTGCTCCAAACAAATGGGAAATAAACACACTGTATGAGAGACAAGTAGTCTTGGTCATGGCCAATGTTTGGGATATTCATTTAGGAACAAAATGTTCTTAGAACCATTCACCAAAACACATACTTAGTACCAAATGTGAATTTCAGAAGATATTTTAAGGGCTCCGTCAAAACGTTGAAGTTGAGCCTGTCTTTGAGGTATACACACAAATATACACACTCACTTTTGTTTTATTTTGTGTTTTGTTTCCTTTTTTTAAGAATGGGAATCTCAGTGCTATAGGGAAAGAATCGTGAATGGTATAACAAATTAGGCTGAGCCACATGAAATTGCCAAAATTTTGGCCATTTTTCAATAAAAATTACAAGTTTATATGCTATACATTATATCCTACAGAACAAGAGAAAAGTCTACTAATGATATTTGCAGAGATTATTCTCATGCGAGACAGACCAGAACATGAAAGGGGTGAGTTACAACCAACAGGACACCTCACAAACCTGAGCTGTGAAGAGCAGGCTTTCCCTCTCCTCAACTCAGACAACCCCTGTGACCACTCAGAGAAGGAGAAGCAGCTCTGCAGCGAGCTTTCTGAACCTTAGGGAACAGCTCTCCGGCTCTGGGTGCTGTCATAGATGAGAAAGATACCAGAGGACCACGTAGGAGGTACCCCACCCGGGTCCTCCCCCGCCAGGCTCACTGCCCCCACCAAGGGCACCCCACTGGCTCCAACCCAGCCAGCATCTCTACACATCCTGCCCCATCTGCTGGGAACACCCACATCTACCCGCCGAATACTTCTGGAACCCACCACCGCCCATGTTCCACAGCCCCTTCCTGAAGGCTGCCCCCACCCCTCCCCTGGGCACAGCCCACCAGCCTGGATCTGATCCTGCCCCTCCCCTCGCATCTCCACACCTGTCCAGAATGAGCCACACTTGAACCCTTGACTGTTCTGCCAATTATAGAGCCCTTCAAACCTAGATTCTCTCTTCCTGTCCAGACTCCTGTATCTCCTGGACAGTCTGGATTCTCCAAGGTCCGGAAGCCACCCCGTTTCCACAGGCGTAGAGTCTTGTGTGTGGTGGGTCGGGGACCACGTGCCCATTTGGAAAGTCATGATCCCATGCCTGTCAACACGTGCCCCATTCGCCTCCCTTCGCGGTCACAACCCCCGCTTCTCGGTGGGGCTGTGCTGACGCGGTTATGGACCAGTAACATGGCAGCCGTGTCCTTGGCTCCTCCTCACTGTGCTCTCAGTACACCACACAGGGATGGGACAGGCACAGGAGGTCATGGGAGGTACTGCCCTGTGCCTCCGCAGGGAAGCAAGGTCTCTGAGCTCCAGGCTGGGGCTGGGTGCCCTGGGGGTCGTGGGGTGCAAGGTAGTACCTGGGTTCACCCTGGCATTTCCACATCCGCTAGACTGCACAGACCAGGTCAGCTGGGCTCTACAGCGTAAGGTGAGGGCAAAAAGGCCACCGCCTTGTGGCCACCCCCTTGATGGAGTGACAGCAACAAGTCGGAGCAAAAAGGGAACCAAAGTAAAGATCAAACGGATGTTACAAAATCTCTTAATAATCACTGATTGATCAACACCAATTCAAGCAAGCCATACAAATTTGAACATCAGTATTTTACTTAAGGCTGTAACCTGGTTCCTTCTGGCTGAAGTGTTCATACCCACAATTAGCAGCTAAAGTTCTAGGATACCTTTCCAAGGGCCTCCTGATGTCCGGAGCTTGAACTCTGCCCTTCTTCTCAACATTCCCACTATCCACACAAAAAATGCAGTAGAGTCAGCTCTTTGGATTTTTCTATATCAAATAGCAGGTATATGTACTAAAAAGTGTCATAAATAAATACAAATTATAATCTGTTACCCGGGCCCAGTCTTGGTTCAGCCACACAGCTGTGCGATCTTGGCAAGCTCTGTACTTTTCTGAACGTTCACTTCCTCTTCTGGACAACTGGGGTCATTTCTACCTCACAAGCCTGTAACATGTTACCCCAAATGCGGCTGTGGGATTCCACATCCAGTAGAGAACACATGCACAGACATTTCTCCAGGGAAGGCATACCGATGGCCAATAGACCAAGGAAAAGATGCCCAATGTCACTCATCACCAGGGAAACGCAAATCAAAACCACGATGACATACCACCTCACACCTGTCAGAATGGCTAAAATCAACAACATCAGAAACAGCAGGTGTTGGTGAGGATGTGGAGAAAGGGGAAACTTCGTGCACTTTCGGTGGGAATGCAAACTGGTGCAGCCACTCCGGAAAACAGTACGGAGGTTCCGCAAAAAGTTAAAAATAGAATTACCATATGATCCAGTAATTCCCCAACTATTGACCCAAAAAATACAAAAACGCTAAGTCAAAGGGAGACATGCATCCTTATGTTTAGAGCAGCATTATTTACAATACCCAAGATATGGAAGAACCCCAAGTGTCTGTCAGCTGATGAATGGATAAAGAAGATATGGTATATATACAAAGGAATATTACTCAACCATAAATAAGAGTGAAATGTTGCCATTTGCAACGACATGACATGAGCTAGAGTGGTATTATGCTGAAGAATACTCTCTGTTATATAATAATAATAATAATAATAATAATAATAATAATAATTACTAAAACAATTCTAAAAATAAGTGAAATAAGTCAGAGAAAGACAAATACCATATGATTTCACTCCTACGTAGAATTTAAGAAACAAAACGAACAAGCAAAGGAAAAGAGAGAGAGAGAAACAAACCAAGAAGCAGACTCTTAACTACAGAGAACACACGGCTGGCCACCAGAGGGGAGGTGGGTGAGGAATATGGGGGGACTAGATGATGGGGCTGAAGGAGGGCACTTGTCCTGATGAGCATCAGGTGACATATGGAAGTGATGAATCACTTCCATACACTGAGTGTCAACTACCTGGAATTAAAATAAAAGAAACTTAATACAAAAAGAAAAGAATAATGGCTCTGTTTTAATCCTTGGTTTAATAAACCTAAGCTAGAGGGCCAAATATTTTATGCCAATAATGTAATGTTAATAATCTTCACATTTCTCTTAAACGATCCTTGAATTTCTCAGATCCTGATTCCATTCCACTGCCTTTGGACTCACTCCTCCCCGATACTATGATGGTTTCTTTCCCGTTCATCTGAACACGTCACTCACCCCCCAGCTCTGTCCTGCCCCCGTACCGTGGACTTCTGTGTGCATGTCCCACATGGAACTTTGTGGATAGTAATTCATCTGACATTCTGCTTCTATTTTTGCTACCACCTCCCCCCCCCAACACCTTGTGTGCAGGTGTAAGGAACAAATGGTAAGCCTCGCCAAGGGCCCTTCTCTGTGCCTCGGGGCCTTTGTTCATGCCGCCGTGTCCGCCCATCTTGCCTTTGTCTCCCTCCCCCACCCAAGGTCAGCCCTGGGCGCCCCCCCCCACCAGCCAGAGTCTCCCAGGAGGAGTCGTGCACCTGTCCCCTAGCCGCACAAAGTACTTTGCGTGTTTTTTATGATGGCATTGGACGTGAAGCTACCGTAGTCTGCCCGTGTAGCCTGCGCGCTCCAGCCAGGTTCTACTGAGTCTGGAATCTATCAGAATACCTGGCCACCTGACCCAAAGCACCTGATTAATAAATGTGAAGAATGAATAAAAGAACAATGTTGCAGAACCACTTATTACCAACTTTGGTATAGTCGTTCGTACTTGAAATAGCTACTGGTTTTTGTTTGTTTGTTTGCTTTTTTTTTTTTTTCCCCAGTAAAGGAGATGAGTTCTAGATCATCAGGAACATGCGGAGTGTGGAAATGACCATGATGCTGAAAACAGTCATTTGTTTATGGGACTCTCAAGGAAAGAAAAGCAGTACACATCTTAAAATTGTACCTATTCATATGCTACCCAGAAGGATCAGCACTAAATCAGACCAGCCTGCCATCTCCTGGCTGTCGAGACAGCTTTCCGAACAGGACAAACTCTACAGGGCAGTTTGCAGAGAAATGGCCCCTGAGAGGCCCGCCTAGGTGAGGGAGAGTCCCGGGAGTTTGTCGTCCCGCAGTCACACTGTGGATTAATTTATGGAGCATGCTCAGTTATGTACTAGTCAGAACATCACTAAATTTCGTTAAGAATACAAAGTAAAGGGTTAACTGATTCAAAGTTAACTGATTCAAAGTGTTTATAAAACTCTTTACAACAGCTACTGAGCCTTTTATTGTGTGGGGGATTTTTCTTTTCTTCCTACACCCATAATTACCAGACCAAAAGTAGGCTCAATTGCAGCAGTTTTTGAACAAAACTTCCAGCAAAAACTCCAGAAGCTCAGTCCTACCCTTTGCAAAGACCCCATGAAGTTGTCCTCACTTGTGCTGAGAATCGTACAAGGCACACAGCAAAGAACACAGGTACAGAAATCAAGCACAAACACAAATTACTTTAAGAATCGTGTTTCCATTGGAAAAACTCCAGAGCGGACACAATCCCATCCAAGACAAAGTTAGTGGCTAAGATCACCTGGCCAGTTGGAGCTGACCCCTAACCAAAACCCAAGGTAAAGGAAAAGTCCCTCCCACAGAACGTGTTCCAAATCCTGCTTGGGTGGGGGGGAACTGGGTGTTCTATCCCCATGTACCCAAGAAGGAAGAAGGAAGCAATGGTCTTTGAGGCAGGACCACGTCAGAACAGAGCAGATGGCCTTGCTCAGCTCGCACTGCCCTGCTGGCCTCGGCAAGAGAGGCAGATATAGAAATCCACGGTCCCGAGAGTCTGTCTTACATCATGATGATGAGCCCAATTACACATTTATAACTAAATCAAAGTGGAAACCATCAAGAGGCTTGCCAGCTACTTTATCTCCCCTGAGCCTGTGATCTGAAAAGAACAGTGATTAGTGGTCCCAAAATAGAAAAGTTATTGAAAGGCAATTTTCTTCCAGCAGATTGATCCAGAAATGACGAAAGCACAAAGCTGCACCTTCATCAGAAGTCTGTGTCTAAAACTGGAGTCTTGCTCTGTAAGGCACACTTGGGTCGGTCGCTCACAACCACAAGAGCTCCGGCTATTCTCCTGTACGTCAGAGAGTGGAGACGTCACGGGGCACCTTCCGGGGGGGAGGGGGGGCACAGGCCAAGGGAGCACTCTCTGAAAGTTGTTGACGGCTTCTAAGCTAATCCACTTTCCCGGCAACGTCAACAATGTTCCACTCCGTGAAGTGGTCTGGTCAGTCAGGTATCTGAATCCTGACAGTTGTCTGTTCTGTAGAAATGCAGGAAAGTACCATTTTCAAATGCCAGTATGTTTTGTTTTTATTTATAAAACATGAGGATAATTTCCCCACAGAAGATATACAACATCACTCATCATCAGGGACATACAAATCCAAGCCATAATGAGACACCTTCACACTCGTTAGGCTGTCCATAATAAAGAAGAAAACACATAAAACAGCAAGTGTAGGTGAGGACGTAGAGAAATTGGAATGCTTGTGCACTGTCGGTGGGAATGTGTGATGGAGTGGCTGCCATGGAAAACAGTATGGCTGTTACTCAAAAATCAAGCATAGAATTACAGTATGATGCAGCAATCTTGCTTCTGGATACACACCCCGAAGAACTGGAAGCATAATCTCAAAGAGATACCGGCACACCCATATGACAGATGAATGGATAAACAAAATGTGGTGTATGAACACAGGAGAATATTGCTCAGCCTTAAAAAAGAAGGGAATCCTGACACATGCTACAACACGGATGGACCCTGAGGACACTGTCCTCAGTGAAATACATCAGTCACAAAAGGATAAACATTGTATGATTCTACTTATATGAGGTTCCTAGAGCTGTCAGATTTATAGAGACAGAAAGTAGAAGGGTGGGTGCCAGGGGCTGGGGCACAGGGGAGTAGAGGTGGATGGTGGGGATGGTTGTACAACAATATGAATGAGCTTAATGGCACGGCACTATACTCCTAAAAATGGTTAAGACGGTCATTTTTTTTTAAAGTAATCTACACACCCAGTGTGGGGCTTGAACTCAGGACCCTCAGATCAAGAGTCACATGCTCTACTGAGCCAGCCAGGCACCCCAAGATGGTAAATCTTATGTTATGTGTATTTTGCCACAATTAAAGCTTCTTTTAATGTGAGGATAAAAAAAAAAAGACCATGAAAGATATACTCTGTGAAAATAGTTCATTTTCCTGCTTTTTAAAAACATGGTTGAACCATAAACTTAACTTATACACGTATTGAAACATTTTAATTTGTTAAATTTTATTATGTGAGTCACCATACAGTACATCATTAGTCTTTGATGTGGTGATCCACGACCCACCGTTTTCGTATAACACCCAGCGCTCCAGGCAGTACGTGCCCTCCTTAACACCCACCCCCGGGCTCACCCATCCCCCTCCCCCCTCCCCTCTAAAACCCTGTCTGTTTCTCAGAGTCCATCGTCTCTCATGGTTCATCTCTCCCTCCGATTCCCCCCCCTTCATTTTTCCCTTCCTTCTCCTAATGTCCTCCATGTTATTCCTTATGTTCCACAAATAAGTGAAACCATATGATAATTGACTTTCTCTGCTTGACTTATTTCACTGAGCATCATCTCCTCCGGTCCCATCCATGTGGATGCAAAAGTTGGGTATTCATCCTTTCTGATGGCTGGGTAATATTCCATTGTATATATGGACCACATCTTTATCCATTCATCTGTTGAAGGGCATCTCGGCTCTTTCCACAGTTTGTCTCTTGCGGACATTGCTGCTATGAACACTGGGGTGCATATGGCCCTTCTTTTCACTACATCTGTGTCTTTGGTGTAAATACCCAGGAGTGCAATTGCTGGGTCATAGGGTAGCTCTAGTCTTAATTTTTCTGAGGAACTTCCACACTGTTTTCCAAAGTGGCTGCACCAACTTGCATTCCCACCAACAGTGTAAGAGGGTTCCCCTGTCTCCACAACCTCTCCAACATTGGTTGTTTTTTTCCCTGTCCATCTTTGCCATTCTAACTGGTGTGAGGTGGTATCTCAGTGTGGTTTTGATTTGAATTTCCCTGATGGCTAATGATGATGAACATTTTTTCATGTGTCTGTTAGCCATTTGTATGTCTTCTTCAGAGAAGTGTCTTTTCATGTCTTCTGCCCATTCTTTGACTTGATTATTTGTTCTTTGGGGTGTTGAGTTTGAGAAGTTCTTTACAGATCTTGGATACCAGCCCTTTATCTGTACTGTCATTTGCAAATATCTTCTCCCATCCTGTGGGTTGCCTCTTTGTTTTGTTGGCTGTTTCCTTTGCTGTGCAGAAGCTTTTTATCTTGATGAAGTCCCAGAAGTTCATTTTTGCTTTTCTTTCACTAGCTTTTGGAGATGTATCTTGAAAGAAGTTGCTGTGGCCGATGTCAAAGAGGTTACTGCCTATGTTCTCCTCTAGATTTTGATGGATTCCTATCTCACATTGAGGTCTTTCATCCATTTTGAGTTTATCTTTGTGTATGGTATTAGAGAATGATCGGGTTTCATTCTTCTGCATGTGGCTGTCCAATTTTCCCAGCACCATTTATTGAAAAGACTGTCCTTTTTCCATTGCATGTTTTTTCCTGCCTTGTCAAAGATTATTTGACCATAGAGTTGAGGGCCCATATCTGGGTTCTCTATTCTGTTCCATGCTGTGTTGGTGATAACAGCTTTGTAATATAGCTTGAAATCGGGCAATGTGATGCCCCCAGTTTTGTTTTTCTTTTTCAACATTTCTTTGGCGATTCAGGGTCTTTTCTGACTCTATACAAGTTTTAGGATTGTTTGTTCCAGCACTTTGAAAAATGTCATTGGGATTTTGATTGGGATGGCATTGAAGGTATAGATTGCTCTGGGTAGCATAGACATTTTAACAATATTTATCCTTCCGATCCATGAGCATGGAATATTTTTCCATCTTTTTGTGTCTTCTTCAATTTCTTTCATGAGTGTTCTGTAGTTCCTGGAGTATAGATCCCTTACCTCTTTGGTTAGGTTTTATTCCAAGGTATCTTATGGTTTTTGGTGCTCTTGTAAATGGAATTGTTTCTCTAATTTCTCTTTCTACAGTTACATTGTTAGTGTATAAGAAAGCAATTGATTTCTGTGCATTGATTTTGTATCCTGCTGCATTACTGAATTGCTGTATGAGTTCTAGTAATTTGGGGGTGGAGTCTTTTGGGTTTTCCACATAAAGTATCATGTCGTCTGCGAAAAGAGAGAGGTTGACTTCTTTGCCAATTTGAATACCTTTTATTTCTTTTTGTGATCTGATTGCTGTTGCTAGGACTTCTAGGACTATGTTGAACGATAGTGGCGAGAGTGGGGAAAAGCTGAGAGCCTTTCCCTTAAGACGAGGAACACATCAAGGATGCCCACTCTCACCACTATTGTTCAACATAGTACTAGAAACATTTTGATGGTATGTGCATTTTCAAAAAAATTAAATCCTTCTGACATCTCCACGGAACAGACACAAAAGGCCAGATTTCATGTCCGTCAGGCAAAAAGTATGTCACAAGAACACACAGTTCTTTATAGATAGCAGCTTTCAAATTTCCACATCCATGGACCACTTGGATAGGCAAAAAGTGCTCACTGCACATTCTCCGCTATTCTAAAAATGCAGAACCACATGCCAAAGAAAGTAGCCAGAACAAAGAGTATACAGCAAACAGCTCCTGAGGGAGATCACACCTTTCACATCCCTGATTAGGTATTTCAAATGAGACAAAATTTGGAAGATGTCAATGAAGAGATCCAGAGTACTTGGTATGAATAATGTACAGTCTTCCAAGCTTGCCAAAGTTTCAACCCAAAGTGAGTGTCTGTAAGACTCTGAACCCCTGGGGCCCTGAAGGTACGAAGGACAGATGGGTCTCTGGCCCTTGGATAGCTGTGGCAGAGGTCCCAGATGTACGGGTGAGGAACCCGGCATTGGGACATGCTAGGAGCCTGCGGGATGTTTGGGGAGGGACCACCACCTGCTGAACGAGATTTCCCTGATGGAAGTGGACAGTGTGCAGGACTGTGGGCCGCTTGGAGAGGCAGACACCAGAGGCCCTGGAATGTCAGAGTGATGAAGACCAGTGCCAATGGCCATGTGGCTTGGGACTGAGGCTGGTGAACAGTCACATGGATGCACTGAGAAGCAACTGGTCACCGGTCAAGCCTTCAAGTGAGACCACAGCCCTGGCTCACAGCTGGAAACAACATCACCAGAGACCCTGGGCCATGGGCACCCCGCCACACTGACCCACAGCCACTGTACCATAGTAAATGCTCACTTTTTATGCTGATATGTTTGGGGTAATCTCACATGCTTCCAAGGGTAGTTACTACAGGGGGTGAAAAGCTGAAACATGAGATAAAGTCACTCTTGAACTTCGAGATGATCAGTTTCTAATGCTTCTCTCTCCTTAAACAAATCATATGCTTTAGGTTGCCCAAGTAAAGTGTGCCACTGTATACTATTTCAGAGTGTGACCCTCACCCCTAAGAGCATTTTATTCACAATCTTCTTTGTTGTACTTGAGATGTGACAACTCATAGCTCCTACCGGTGATAGCAGGGAAAGGAATTTCTCCACAATTCCACTGTGTCTAACATGTTACTTAAATGCAATTTCCCTGTTGTCTTTGTCATCGGGGCTTTGAAGAGCAAACAGTCCGACACAGCTAGGACAAGTAGAATGACACTTGAGAAATCGGGTGACGTGGCTGTTAGACGTCAGGCAGACAAACAGTCCTCAGCTCCTCGCTGTGGTTTGGTCTGTTGGTAACATATTTGGGAAGGTGTGTCTGGTGACTGTTTCCATTCAAAACTGGGTGCAATCCACCAATCCGGGGCCACCTGAGGCAGAAAGTATTTATTAACATCCGTGATGGCTAGAGAGGGAAATAAGGAATTCCAAGGCAAGCAGCATCCACTCCTGCTGGAGCCCCCATGGAATGTCGATGATGGAGGGAGAGCCACCCAGCACCACCCTCTTCCATACCGACTAAGACACTCAAATTCAGTCCCAGCAGCTCAGCTAGTTGTCAGGATAGGAAGGGCCACCCCGTCAGCAATCCTACAAGAATGACCGAGGTCGATTTGTCAGCATCTGCCTTCGTCTCTATGCTCTGAAATCAACAGAGACCACAGGCTGAATGGGGACCCCGGGTAACGGGGCCCAGGAGGGGCTGCCAGGCAAGCTTGAGTCAAGGTCGGAGTCGGACCCTGTCGTGGAGCAGCCTGGACCGGGGCTCAGAGTTGAGCTCCAATCGCACATCCGCGAACTGGCAGCACCAGAGATCCAAGCCAGCTGGGCGAGAGTTCACCCACGTTCAGGTTCACAGACTCTGGGGAGAGCCGAGGGGTCTGAAAGCTGGGATCCTGACAGATACAGCCCCGGCCCCCACCTTGGCCCAATTTACAAGTTAGAGCCACGGCCTCCCCGATTCTCTGAGGGTCCTGCCAGCTGACAGGTGAGAGGTTGTGTGTCTGCTCTAGAGTCAATATAGGGAAGAATTACAGAAAAAAAAAAAAAACTCATTAAAATGTCCTTGTGGAGATTAAAGAAACACAGAGTGGTACGAGGAAGCACGCTCCCCAGGAGGAGACTGGGGAGTGAGGGCAGGGTGGGAGAGAGACCAAACCCAGGGCCAAGGCTGCGTCGCTGCATAAATCCTGACCCATGAGTGATATTTCACCTTCAAACCATCAGAATGCAGGGAAGATAAGAAAAGCCAGCTGATGAAACTCATCTGTTACGTGAACACCAGATAATAACCGTAATTAATCAGTTAACCCACAGACACTAATAAGACACTGCATCCTGTGGTTGTCTGAACTCGCCTTCTTCAAGCAGGAAGCTACGAAGAGGCATAAAGTTTTCAGATCCCTGTCTTAGGTGTGTGAGTGCAGCAGACGTAGGGTAAGCATTGTCCACCCGCACGCGATGCCAGGTGGAGACCTCCAAATCTTCTTGATTTCCATTCTGAGTACCAATAATAATAGATGCTTATTCCTCTCAAAGATCTCTTACGATTGTGATGGCAACACTCATTTTGTGGAGAAGACCAGACTCCTTTCTCTGTGGCCAGGAGACCAGCTCGGAGACGAGACGGCTCGGAGACCCCGGAGCGTTGTAAGGGACCACAGTCCCCCTGCCACCTGCCCGGGAAGGCTGAGGCCTCGGTGTGCGGAGGGCCAGGAAGCTCTTGCCTCCTTCACAGGCTTGGCCTCCCAAGAAGGAAGCCTTGTTCTCAGCTGAGAAGGACACGCTTGCCTGGAGCCAAGCGGAGAGCAGAAGACAGCTTCCACTTTCCCCCGTGCCCACAGCATCAAGAGCATTTCCGAAGGTGCCAGTGTGGGAGCTGCACTGGGCTGCACCCTGGGCAGGCACCCCAAGCCCCCACCCCGCCCTCCCCAGCTGTTCTCGCCCTCCCGCTTCCCCCCACCTGCGCTTGGTCACTATACTCCCACTGACTCTGAAGCTACTTGCCTACTTGTGCAGTGCTGGGCCCTGGGCCACGCATGTGCATGTGGACACAGCAGAGGCAGTGCTGGGCCCGGGGGCCGGGGCCACACGTGTGCATGCCCCTCCACACACACGCATACACACTCTCCCAAACAGGCCAGAGAGCTGGGCTCTGTGCTTCGAGACTCTGGTCCCAGGCTCAGAGGAACCTCCTCACCCCCCGGCTCATCTGCCCCTGAAGCAGGGGTGAGGATTGGACAGGCCCACAGTGGCAGATGTGGGTGACGGGCAGGGGTCCTCACTGACTGGGAAGGCACACAGTGGGACAAGCAGAAGGGAGTTTGCCATAAGACACTCTGAGGCATTGACAATCTCCCTACCAACTGCTGCTAAAAACAGCCTTGATTTGTCACGCAGACCTGACGTGCTTGTTCTAATAAGCTACCATCAAATACATATCAGTGAAGAACGACCAGGGTTTTCTCTGGTGCGGCCGTCCGCGGGGCACCAGTGGGCGCTGAGGACCGGTGTGCCTGGGGGCAGAGCTCTGGGGGAGGCTCGGATTCTCCTTCTGACAAAGAAAGCCGAGTAAGGGTCTCTTCCACCCCTGCAGCTGGAAAACAGGAACCCGCAAGTATTCCTCACCTGGAAAATTCTTTAGTCATCCATGTCAATAAATAGCTTATTTTTGTTTAAAAAGAGCAACGTAATGTGTTCAGAAAGTTATTTATGGCACACAGGAAGGCTCTAATGTGAAAGACTGGTTGACTTTGATTAGGGACAATGGCGCTTTGAACACAGCGGGCGGGCGCTCAGTGGAGACACTCCCAGGCGGGGCCAGGCCAGCAAGGTAAACACGCACAGCAGTGGCCAGCAATTTCCAGCTGGTCCCCAGTGGGGACGAATGTCAGGGCAGCCGACCCAGGGGAAGGCACAGGGTCCCCAGTGGCTAACGTGCGGAGCCTGAGGGGGCAGCAGGACACACAGCCCAACGGGCCCCCGAACAAGGGGTTGATGTCTTTGGAGGGAGGTCAGGGTGAGAGGATTTGGGAATCAGGAAGCACTGAATAGGATCTAGGAATTCATTCAGGAGTTATTTATGGAAATAACAGAACTCTTACTTGAAAGAGGCCAGAAGTGAACCAGAAAAGCATCATGATCACAAACAAATATTTTAAAATTCATGATTCCCATTTCTGAATTAGTACAGACACTTGGAAAGTGAACCACGGTGAACACATAAATGGTCGCTGAGGTCCCAGCGTTTTCTCCTTTCTCCTTCCAGGCCCACAGCCTGGCTACTGCTCACCACCCTCCCGAGGTCAGCGTCAGCACCTATCTCTTCACTGGGAAGGATGAAAGATGAGCAGAGTGCCTCGGGCGGGTGCGTTGGCCTTGCCCCTCACTGGTTCCTGACAGGTGAGGACCCGGGTCCCCACCCCACGCCGCCTTTCATCCCACGTCTACCTCCAGCTGTCCCAGCCTGCTCCCCGCCCCGGCTGCCCCCCTGTGCCTCTCCCCTCTGTTCATAACTGCTTGTAAAAACATTCATGGCAGGCCCTACGTGCGAAAGGTCACCAGCGTAACAGAGCAGAAGGGCTGGACACACAGCAAGTCCCCGACACCTACTGCTCCCAGAGGCAGGTGGCCCCCCCAGAGGTAAGGAGGGCGCTCACATCTTCCTTCTTGGTACGTCCGGAACACAGAGGCCTCCCCAGCCTGACAGACGGAGAGCAAATGACGTTCCTCCTCTTTCTGATCCTGTTTTCCAGCTCTCCATACTAGAGGAATTCCCCAACCTTTTCCCAACTTTTCTGAATTTTTTTTAGCAGCCATATTGTCAGTCTGGAAGAATGCCTTCTTCCTGGATCATTGCTGCTTCGTTTCCCCCTGTTTGATGTATGGCCATGGTGCTGGATTTTCTCAAATCTCTGCAGGTCCATAAAGGTCTTCTCTGTTCCCTGAGCTGCTCCTCTTCTGGGGCATTTGTTTGCTTCTCTCTGGAAGGTGAGAAAGCTGCCATGGTCCTCACGGAAAGCTGGTGCGCACTGGCTTCACCCCAATAAGGGACCTGCCACACTCACGTGTCCCCCCTGGAGTTTGGAACGGGCCTTCTCTGGGCTCTCCTCTATCTGCAGTGGACTCATCTCCTGACGGGCAATCCGTCCCCATCATTTTGCTCCCAGAGCCCTCAGTGGCTCCTCACTCCCGATCACGTGTTCTAATTCCTCCCTCCACACATAAAGTCATTCGCAGTAAATCTTGCCGGACCTCACATACAACAATCCCGGACCCTTCCTCCTCTGCCTGTGGGGGTGTCCCGTGCTAAGCCGACCTGGAGCCAACGTCCCAGACCCCCTCCTGCGAAGACCCTCCACCTCTGGACTCTGTAGTCATCTCTGCCTCCCGCTTCCATGGCACTCAGCA